GATTGACCGAAACATTATAACGCCCCCACGGCTGAAAGGGCGAGCATGTTTGGTGGGACAGGGATTCGAACCCGCGACCTTCAGATTGCGAGTCGAGCGCCCTAACCATCTGGCCATGCCGGGCCTAGTGGATACGAACCACAGACTATCGAATCCATATTCAACCCATCCAAGAGATTTCTTGGTCGAGTAAAAGTAATATTCAGAATATGACTTCACGGACGAATGAAATATGAAGAATTTTATGACAACTTTCTATTGGTTACCTACATGTCCCCCTATGGTTCGAGGCGGATCTGAGGGCTTATAAAGGTAAATATGAAGTTTCTTGTGAAAGTGGGTTTTCTCGGAGATCTCCCGTTTCCCCCACATCAAATTCCTCGGTATTTTTCGATGTTCATAGGGCTTTTACTGAAGTATGCTTTGTCGAATGCTGTCGTCTTGCTTCTTCTCATCATCATCGCCATCAGCCTTGGTCGTCTCTCTGCTTCCTGGACTCTCAGCCATCTGCCAAATCTCCACATCAACCAATTAGGAGATATGAACTAACTCCGAAATTTATTTTAACTCCACGATCTTAACAGCATTTTCATTCTCGCGGGCGGGACGAAAGGGAATATCAATATCCCTGAACACCCCAGTTTAGGAATGTTCACCTTTTCTTTAAAAGCTAAATACCTGCCACGGTTTTTAGTGTGTTGTTGTTGTTGCTTTTTCGATACTTGCGGCAGGCACCGCACAGACAGCCCATTGTGTGGCCTTATGATTAATAACAAACAAACAAAAAACACTACTCACAATTCCAGCAGTTAAAGCAATGACTAGCTGGTTAAAGCAAACTTCAAGTAGTTACGTAGATCATACTACTATCCTCTAATCAAGTAGTAGGATTTGACTGTCACTTCTATAGCACACCGCGACCTCAAAATGTAAAGCGCGTTTGGCGGCAATGATACGCGAACTAAATTCACAGTTTCGACAAACTAACACTAGAACAGTCCAGGTTCCGTTTGGAAAAGAAATATATTCATACTAATAGTATAGAAAAGTATATATATATATATCCTGTATGGTGTTTTTTATTATGTGATCCGTACTTACCAGCATTTTTCAGTTGCTAATAAATTTTAATTTGTTGCATAATAGTTTACATACATTTTAATTATTCGGACTGATTTTTGTATGGGCTTATTTTCCCATTTTTTGTTGTTTTTATTTTGAAATAAGGTTTCGGGCTCCGTCTCGAGTTATTTCCAAATTAAAATAACTGAGGGTGAAGTCCATAGAAAACACAGTCCACATGTTAACACATGACCTGAATCCACCTTCAAAAAGGATTTCAACTGTGCATTTACTGATCCTCGTTAAAAGTAGAAGCAAAAACATTTGAAGCACTCAAACTCAGAAGTACCGTCTCCTATCTACATAATTGAATAAGTTGGTTTGGTTTGTTTTAAATTTCG